AAAGTGTGGTGAACCACTGGATTTTTATTAATTGCTCATAGTTTTCTCTGGTTCCTGCCCCATTCCTAATTTTGTGTTGCTTTTTATTGATTGTGGAAAAATACTGCTTTCTTATGGTGCTAGTCTTTCTTTTCTTGGTTAATACTTGTTTTAGATGCTTTATGAAGATTTAGTCTATTCTCTGTACCTAATCTATTCCATTTAGTGAACCATACCTGTAATCATAAATGTTGGGTAAAGGAGCATGAATGTCAAAACTCCTTAACATTTAGAACCGATGATCCCAAAGGCTTAAGCAGTTCAATTACATGAATGTTTAATTACACCTCTTAGCATTTACAATTCAAATTTCAAACCCAGGCTGCAGTTTACAAGACAGGAGCTGTATGTGCAGCCTTCCTTGCCAACATTGCCACATCTGATGCAACAGTGACCTTTAATGGAAAGTCATATCACTTGCCCGCATGGTCTGTGAGCATCTTACCAGACTGCAAGAATGTAGTGCTTAATACTGCAAAGGTTTGCCTTTTCAACTTTGCCATCAAAATAGATAGTTCAATTGAATGAAGTTACTTTCAGAATAAATGTGATTAATCTATCCATAGTTTAGATCTTTTCCTTCATTTTGTAGTCCAAGAAATGGCATAACCTATAGTTATTTATGATATGACAGATTAATTCTGCATCTATGATTTCAAGCTTCACAGCTGAATCTTTAAAAGAAGAGGTTGGTTCTTTGGATGATTCTGGCTCGGGATGGAGTTGGATTAGTGAACCTATTGGTATTTCAAAGGCTGATTCATTCTCAAAATTTGGATTATTGGAACAAATAAATACAACTGCTGATAGAAGTGATTACTTGTGGTACTCATTAAGGTATATAGTATACCTTCAAGGTTGAGAAAGCTTTCTTCTGGCTTGCAATTTTCTCCACTAGGTGACACTTTTCATGATTTTTTTCTGCAGCATTGATCTTGATGCTGGTACTCAAGCTGTCCTTCACATCGAATCACTTGGTCATGCACTTCACACTTTCATAAACAGGAAGCTTGCAGGTGAATAAAAGATAATTCAATGACATATGATGATATTTATATGTCTGTTTGAGTTAAATATTTTGGATGACCCTATAAGTTCTTGCTTAAATTCCTTGGAAGTATATTAAGGCCTGACAAAGAAGCGTGTCTCTCACCACACCCCACCCCTTTAAGCTCAAAGCTGCTTTATTAGAAAATTCTGCAAAAAGAGGTCAGATTATATTTAGGTTGGCACTATGGTGGGTCCAAGGTGGATTTGCCCCTTTAAGAAACTGTGAATAATGGTTGACAAACTCTGTAATATCAGTAGCGAAATAACAAACGTGTATGGTGTCTTTATCTTCCTGCTATATGAGGCCACCGGCCACAGATGATAGATCAGTAAGCCGAGAACATGATATTCTTGGCTGCGGATCCATCATCTTTCATGCAAGTTTGCATTCTTAAACATTTAAACTTATACTTTCTTGATCAAATCACTAAAATAAGCATAAAACTTGGTACTCGCCAGTTTTATCAGGAGAAATTTAAAATGTGTTACCAACTCCGAGGTTCATTAAATATATAAAAGAAAACTATTAACATTCTGTTAATTTTGTGCATTGGCAAGCCAAATTTAGAGTAATGATACACAGAAAAAAAATTTACAGCAGCTTTTACAATTTTATTTCTTGTTTTTCTCTCTTCAACTTATCATCCAATCCATGTTATCCAGCACTTATTTTTCTTCTCTTTCTTTCTCTCTTTTAAATTGTAAAATTTATTGTATAAAATTGATGAGTAACATTATCACCAAATTTAATCCCTTTAAGGATGTAGCGATATAAATTTAATCTGGGACATTGTGGAGAACTATTTCAGGGAGTGGAACGGGCAACCATGACAAAGCTAATGTTACGGTAGACATCCCCATCAAACTAGTGGCTGGGAAGAACACAATTGATCTCCTGAGTTTAACTGTGGGACTTCAGGTTTGTCTTATCTTCTTATAAAGTTGATAAACATTTAGAGCTAAGGAAATGTTGGTTTTGTAATATGCATTGGCTTGTTAATCCCTCATTCCCTCCCCATATCATTTTACTTTATCACCAAGTCACTTCTAATTACCATATCAACTAATGCAAACCTTTTGCACATCAGAACTATGGAGCTTTTTTTGACACATGGGGTGCAGGGATCACTGGTCCAGTGATTTTGAAAAGTTTAAAGAATGGCAGCATTCTTGATCTGTCCTCCCAGCAGTGGACATATCAGGTTTATCTCAGCCTAACTAAAGCCAATTATTTTTTTTTTCTTCCTTGTTGAGTTTTGATGACTTCATTAACTGAATAGGTACAAATTGAAATATGGTAAATTCGATTTCATTTTTCCTTTTTGGTTGAAGCCATATGTAGAATATATGGTCTATAATTTTTGAATTCAGGTTGGCCTTAAAGGTGAAGATTTAGGTCTATCTTCTGGCAGTTCTGGACAGTGGAATTCACAATCAACCTTGCCTATAAACCAACCATTGACTTGGTACAAGGTAATCACCTACTTATATGTGATATCTTCACAATCAAATACTTCAAAGAAAACTAAGGGAATGTTACTGTTGGACAAATGATTTTGCTTCTAACTAATGGTAAGTAATACATGTTTGTATTAGACAAAGTTCGTTGCTCCCTCTGGCAGTAATCCAGTTGCAATTGATTTCACGGGGATGGGAAAAGGTGAGGCTTGGGTGAATGGACAGAGCATTGGGCGTTACTGGCCTACATATGTCTCTCCAAATGGCGGTTGTACTGACTCATGCAATTATAGAGGGACCTATCTTCCATCCAAATGCCTCAAGGACTGTGGAAAACCATCACAGACATTGTAAGTGTTAGATATTCTGCATGAGAGAAGTTAAAACATTAAAAAAAATGGTGAATTGTTTGATGGAAGTAAAGGCTATCGAGTTTTATTATTGAGTAACTGATCCTGCAGATACCACGTACCACGATCATGGTTACAACCAGATAGCAACACACTTGTGTTGTTTGAGGAAAGTGGAGGCAACCCTACCAAAATCTCTTTTGCTACAAAACAGATAGGAAGCATATGTTCTCATGTATCTGAATCTCACCCTCCACCTGTAGACTTGTGGAATTCAGATAGAGAATCAGGAAGAAAAATAGGGACAGTACTGTCACTGGAGTGCCCTTATCCTAATCAGGTTATCTCTTCCATTAAATTTGCAAGTTTTGGAACGCCTTATGGGACTTGTGGGAACTTCAAACATGGACGGTGCACAAGTAATAAGGCTCTATCCATTGTGCAGAAGGTGTTATTAGCTTACTCTTTAAATAACTTCATATTTTCCTTTTGTGTAGTTAATTTGACCTTTCTCATTCTTATTAAGCTGACTCTAATGAGTATTAATTAACAGGCCTGCATTGGATCAAGCAATTGTAGAATTGAACTATCAATTAATTCATTTGGAGATCCATGTAAAGGAGTAGCAAAGAGTTTAGCTGTTGAAGCTTCTTGTGCATAGACATGTTGCTTCAAGCTTGGACTTGGCTGAAGAAAACTCTGAACTCTCCCAAATGTGTTTGACTCATTGTTGAAGATGATTCCTTATTAGCCAAAGTATATATATAAAAAAAAATGTATTATGGTCGTAAACCAGGAAAAAAATGTCAAACGAAACTGTATTATTGTTACTTTATTAAAGAGGTAACTCTCAGTTATGCATGATGTGTGATAATGATAGTTTATACTCGAAAGGAAGGTTTCTAGCTAACTAGAAAAGAAATTGTTCTCGTACATCAGTGTGACAAAGACGAGCAATGATAATAGGGCTATTTCTGATAAAAGAAGTTGGATCAATTAATTATTAACTTGTAATGGAAAGTTTCCCTCAAAATAAAATTCATCATATCTTTAGTACATTTAATCACCATTTCATTCACAAAACCGTGGGGTAACATGTTAGGCTATTGTTTGTCTGAATACGTTACTAAGCTTGAAACCCAAGTACTGGCATGTCGATAAGAAAAAATAGGCTATGCAGCGATAATATAAAACACTATCATCCAATCAAAAATTACCATATATATGATAAATTTGTTGTCTTTTAAAATAATTTCCTTAAAAAATCACTTTAATAGTCATTTTTTATTGATTGATAGTGTAAATTTTTTATTGCATTAAATCATGTCAATAATTTGTATGGGAAACTTGTATCATAATTGTTGATGATATCAGTATTCACCATGTTCTTCGCCGGTAGCAAACCACTGTATAAGTAGACCATTACGAGATATCCTGTTCAAATTTCCTTTCAATTACATACAGAGATAAGGTTTCTCCAAAATCTGGACGATAATTTTGGGCAAAATAAAATCCCTGCATGTCTTTGATATGGACATACCTTCAATCTTCATCATCCTTGACCACTATGGATAGAAACTTTTTTCTGTGACTCGCAACAGAATTATTATGTCATTGTAAGAGCATAATTTCCGTAGTCTATCAGACTTATTGTATGTTTCATGTCTGTGAGTATATAAGAAACATTATACAATGCGCCATAAAGGATATGAAAATTGTTTGGCCTGCTCGTGATGATAAGGAGACATGTATAATACCTAACACGGTCTATGAGCTGTTTGATTAACCACTATTTCTTTCGCCCTATATTACCTGCAAAAATACTTGTACTGTTTGGTTACAATCGTCTCAGCAAAATAATAATAATAACACCACAATTCACAAAATCAATTGATTGCGATGGCTGATTGGTGTGACCTTCAATCATAAAAATTCCTTTCTCCATGCTTACATCCATATATCATCATTGATACAACACCTCAATATCCTTGCCAACTAGTAACAGTGTGTATGCTCACAAATCACAATTTAAGGTTTTAAAACAAAGGCTTTCCACCTATCTATCATTGTCTCCCACTCCCAAACTTGCTCTATAAAACCCATCTCCTTCATATAATCAATGCATCATATCATTTGCAATCCTTTCCAATATCATCTAAACCTTCATTTAACTAATGCAAAATGATGAACAACCAATCTCTCTTGTCTTTCTCACTAGCATTGCTAGTTTCATTTTTTTATTGCACCACCACTTTAGCCCAATTATCACCAGCTGTTGCACCTGTAAAACCAGTTCAACCAGCCCCTACCCCACTAGCTGAGGCTCCTAAACAACCATTGGTTCCCTCATTGCCACAATCACCAAGTGACTCAACACCCGACACTGCAGCACTTGATATTGTTGGAATCCTGAGGAAGGCTAAGTCATTCAACATCCTAATCCGCCTCATGAAAACCACCCAATTGATCAACCAACTCAATGCACAACTCCTCACTACTAAATCTGGTGGCATCACCATTCTTGCACCCGATGACAGTGCCTTCTCAGAACTCAAAGCAGGCTTCCTCAACTCTCTCTCTGATGGACAAAAACTCGAGCTCTTACAGTTCCACGTTATTTCAGACTATGTATCTAGCTCCAACTTTGATACTCTTACAAATCCTGTGAGAACACTTGCCGGAGCTAAACCTGGAAAGGTGGAACTGAATGTGATAAGCTACGGTGGAAGTGTGAACATCTCAACAGGTGAGGTTAACACAACCATCACTGGCATTATATATACGGATAAGCATCTTGCGATTTACAAGGTGGGGAAGGTACTTCTTCCTATGGACTTCTTTGCTGTGGCCAAGGCACCTGCAAAGGGACCCTCATTGGCACCACAACCTTCAGCAAAGGCTCCTAAACCTGATAAGGACCCATTGTCTCCAGATTCTTCAGAATCATCTCAGATTAATTCCACAAACGAAAACTCTAGCACTGTGAAAATCAATGTGCATGGAAAGTGGGTGGCCCTTGTTCTTGGACTAGTTCTCATGACTGTATTCTCATCATAAACCAGAAGAGGATTTGGCTGTTACTTACCATGCACGCGGTTAATATTCAACACTCAACAGTACTATCTATGATTAGGAGAAAGAAGTGATTGCTATAGTGGTGAATTATCTGAAATTGTTGTATCCCTCTGAACTTATTCTAAGAGATGCTCTGGCTGCTACGATTCAGTATTCGTTTCTTTGCACACTCAATATTTTGCATGTTTCTGTATTTTGAAGAAAAAATTGGTTGAAACTTTGTCTCGAATATACTGATTAACACCTCCAATTGAATGTCACCTAAACGATTTATATGCTAACTTAATATTTCTACTTTAGTTAACACCATCTAAAAACGGACTAAGTCTTTTTTTTTTTTTTTTCCAACACCAAGGGCTAAATCTATTGAAAATTTTAAATTTTATACATTAATGCATCATTTTCTTAGTCTATATTTTCATAATAGTTCGGAAAATATTTTTAGAAATTCCGATGCACATTTCTGAATTTCAAAATAAATAAATAAAATAAAATAATATTTTAAATTAATTTTCTCACTCTCTCAAGTAGTATCCCAAACAAAATGCGATTAATTTCAGAATATTTAAATTTAGGATAAGTTAAATTCTTTTAAAATTTTAAATTAAACTTTAATATTTTCAAACAAATCGTATAATTTTATAAATATTTTAAGGAAAATAAGAAATATATATATAAGAATATATCCAAATCAAAAATAAAATATTTATAAATAACAATAAATCATTAAATTTGTCGAGTAATATAAAACTTTTCTTACTTATTAAATAGGATTGATGGAATTTTTTAACTCGCTTTACTAATTGGACAAGGCAGACTGGACGGGACGGAACAAAATTTGGGATATTTTATCACTCTTAATTTTAATAACTTTTATTAATCTAAAGGAAATATTTAAAATATTATTTATAAAGTTATAAATATAATAATTTTTTATTTATAATATATAGTTGTAAAATAATTAATATTTTTTTATTTCACATTTTAAAATAACATAATATTTAAACTTAAGATAAATTAAATTCTAAAATAAAACTTTCATGCCGTCAAAAATAAAATCTTATAATTTTTTTAAATATTTTAATAAAATAATATATATATATATATATATATATATATATAAAAGATAATATTCAACTTAAAAATAAGATATTGATAACTAGCAATAAATGGTCACATTTGTCAACTGATATAAAACTTTTTAAATTTATAAACAAGATAAATTGAATTTTTGAACTCACTTTACTAAGTTAGATGAAACAAGACTAGGTAAAGAACTGAAGAAATGAGATGGAGTAGAACATGAGATATTTTGTTACTCTCACTTTCAATAACTTTTTATTAATACATAGAAAATATTAAAGTATTATTTATAAAATTATAAATATCATACATGTAATAAATTTTTATTTACAATATATAAAGTTAAAATAATTAAATATATTCATCATTTTATATTTTAAAATAGAAAGTAGTTAAATTTAAGATAAGTTATTTTTTTTTCAAAATTTAAATTAAACTTTCATGCTGTCAAAACAAAAAATGTTACAAATTTATAAATATTTTAAGTAAAATAAAAATTATATATAAGGTTATATTCAACTTGGATATTTATATTTTGTGTATTCTTAAAAATTAAAACAATTAATTATATTTTTTCAATATAAAAAATAATTTTATAAACTAATATATTTTTAACATATGTAAAAATAAGAGTAATGGGGACAAATGCACATATATCATTCTAGTCCACTGTAATACTGATTTTTTTTTTTTTTTTTTTAAAGTAAAAACTCCTTGTTTCTTAAGACAATATCTGAGGAAGATGACCAACCACGTTCACAACCTTTAAATATACTTATTTGCATGCGTCCCACCCTCCTTCTGTTGCTCAAAGTAACAACAATGTAGCCACACTAGATCTCCTTTTCTCCATTAGTAATACGATAATTTCAAGTGTACAATAAAATTAGTACCAAAAAATACAAGAAAACCAAAGTACACAAAACTAAAGTACCAAACACTTCTTCTCCCACTCTCCATGTTTTTCAGTTTCAACTTTCAAGTTACAAATTTATCTTTTAACTAAACAACAACGTGATGTCGAAAAAGGACACAAGAAACCAATACATGAACCCAAGTAGCCAAACATTCTGCTGCATGCTTCTTTCTCCTGTCTGTCTCAAAACAACAACCCCATTTATTTCTTTTTGACTCCATCCTTAAGCTAGTGTTAGCACTTGCAAATGTATTAAGAAAAGCCGTGCCTCTAAATACAAGAAGCAATAACAAAGAGTGAATCCTTCCCTATTGCACTGCAAATCCAAGCAAAGACAATGAGAGAGACACATGTTCTTCTGGTTTTGCTTTGGTTCTTCTGTTCCTATGCCCCTTCTTCGTTTTGTGCAAATGGCACGTACGACCATAGAGCATTGGTCATCGATGGCAAGCGCCGAGTCTTGCTTTCTGGTTCTATTCATTACCCTCGTAGCACTCCTGAGGTTCTCTTCATTCACTCTTTCTTTCTCTTTGTAATGCACACTGCACTCTTTTCTTAACTTTGTCTTTCGAGTTTGGACTTAAAAAAAAAAAAAAAACACTACAATTCACAAAATCAAATGATTGCGATGGCTAATTGGTGTGGCCTACAACCATAAAATGCGTTGCTCCATGCTTACATCCTTAAATCATCGTTGATGCAACACCTCAATACCTTGCCAGCTAGCAGTAGCAACTGTATGTATGCTCAAAAATCACAGTTTAAGGTTTTAAAACAAAACCTTTCACCTAACTATCATTGTCTCCCACTCCAAGATTTGTTCTATAAAAGATATCTCCACCATATCATCAATGCATCAAATGCTCATTCCCAATACAAATCCTATTATTTGCAACCCTTTCCAATATCATCTAAACCTTCATTTAACTAAACCAAAATGTTGAAGAAGCAATCACTCTTATCCTTCTCACTAGCATTGCTAGTTTCATTTTTGTATTGCACCACCACTTTAGCCCAACTATCACCAGCTTCTGCTCCTATAAAACCACCCCAACCTAGCCCTACCCCACCAACTGAGGCTCCTAAACAACCATTGGTTCCCTCATTGCCACAATCACCAAGTGATTCCACCCCTGACACTGTAGCATCAATTGACATTGTTGGAATCCTGAGGAAGGCTAAGTCATTCAACATCCTAATTCGCCTCATGAAAACCACCCAATTGATCAACCAACTCAATGCACAGCTCCTCACTACTAAATCTGGCGGCATTACCATTCTTGCACCTGATGACAGCGCCTTCTCAGAACTCAAAGCAGGATTCCTCAACTCTCTTTCTGATGGACAAAAACTCGAGCTCCTACAGTTCCATGTTATTTCAGAGTATGTATCTAGCTCCAACTTTGATACTCTTACAAACCCTGTGAGAACACTTGCAGGGGCTAAGCCTGGAAAGGTGGAATTGAATGTGATAAGCTATGGTGGAAGTGTGAACATATCAACGGGTGAGGTAAACACCACCATCACTGGAATTATATATACAGATAAGCATCTTGCTATTTACAAGGTGGGGAAAGTGCTTCTTCCAATGGACTTCTTTGCTGTGGCCAAGGCACCTGCAAAGGGACCCTCTTTGGCTCCAGAACCATCTGCAAAGGCTCCTAAAGCGGATAAGGAGACGTCACTGTCCCCAGATTCCTCAGAATCATCTCAGATTAATTCCACAACAGAGAACTCTGGCACCGTGAAAATCAATGTGCATGGAAAGTGGGTGTCCCTTGTTTTCGGACTAGTTCTCCTGATTGCATTGTCATCGTAAACCAAAATATGTTTTGAATCAAAAGTTTTTGTGAATTTACCAACGTTTAAGCTAGTAGTTAAGTCACCATTTTGTTCAAGAGTATGATGTGTTCTGTGATTGCGCGAAAGGGGTGAATACTAAAGTGGTGAATTTATCGTAGTGGGTTAGGGGATCTGTGATTTGACAGATTGTTCTATCCCTCCATAAATTTAAGTGTAATGTTTATGATCTATGGTTTCTTCAATAATTTTTGCAAGCCTTGTTATATCTTCTGAAGAAAAAATTACTAGAAACTATGTCCCAATTTTACTAGTTTTTAAGCATTATGGAGGTCATACCGAAAGGACAAAACTTAGGAACCTACCATAGATACCGATAGTGATGTTCTCTAATTAGAGTTGGCGTATACGTAATGTACATTAATCAGATGTGCATTAAACGTAGATACATATCATCGAGACAGTGATTATGAATTTGGCCATATCATCTGAATACACAACCAGTATACGGAGCCACCTTGCGCATTTCAAGTTAGATTTTCATAGATCCATTCATCCAATTGATGTAAGATGATAACCCATGAATTTTGAAGTGAAAGCAACACAGTTACATATGTTCACATCTCACCACCAATCATGTGATTGATGCACAAACTTTGCATGATAGGTAAGTGAAAATTGTTTTGGGAGCAAAGCCTTTATCTTTCTAACACAACTAGTAGTTGTACACATCGTTCTGATTCTTTCCTGCCTCAATATAATGGGCAAGCCGCTTCTGCCTTTTTCCTCACATGAAATTAGAGTCTCAAAACAATCATTTTTACATTTCATTTCTGTAACACAAACAAAAATGATGATGCAAGAATCTCTCTTTTTCTCAGCCTCACTTGTAACAGTAACCTTGTTCTTCACTGCATTAGGCCAACACTCACCAGCAGCATCACCCTCAATACCAGAAACACACCCAAAAGGCTGCAACTGAACGTCACTACTTACGGTGGTTCCCATTTGAGCATGACCACCGGTGCCGTGAATGACAAGAAAGTTGGCATTTATGAAGTGGATAAAGTGCTTCTGCCATTTGACGTGCTTCTTTCCTAAGCCGAATATGAAGAATGTAAATGTAATGTGGTTGCGTTTTGTTGTTTGGTTGGTTTTCATATAGTTGGAGCCTTGGAGGCATGCATTGCATCATATCAGATTAACTTCATCACAATAATTTTCTTTTGTTGGATTCAAATCTATCTGTTGTGTTAGCTTCTGTCTATAATATATCAACCAATTTCCGAGTCTCAAATATGCCATTTTGGGTCAATATTTATGCATTAGTCATTTTTCTTTTCCTACTTTTTTTCTTTTTTACTTATATCGTATCTTTTGAATCAGGTTGATCTAGTGTTGGGGATTAACCAACTATGTATAGAGTTTTATATTTAATTTTTTTTTGTTATTACAATTTTTTACTGTTAATAAAAATGCATTAAGGAGTAATCATCTCTGCCCCAACAAGGCGTGAAGTAGTTATCTATGTCACAACATGAACTGATTAAACTCATGATGCTTACAATGGACACGGTTCTAAATGACTTATCCCCCTCCTATGCAAGGTTAAAAATTGCTTTAAACTTTAAGTGGGAACGGGCTATGGCAGTTGTGTGTAATAAATGTACACCAGAACGGGCCGTTCTGGTTTGAGAACGGGCCGTTCTGGGTGTGATTTTTACTCATGTTTTTATGGTCCAGAACGGGCTGTTCCGAATTTGGAACGGGCCGTTCCAACGAAGCCCAAGGCCTATAAATTGAGCTCTCTGCCACTCTGAAAAAGCACACCTCTCATTTTCTGATTTCTTTTCTTCTGCTCTCTCTTCTTTTCTCTCTACTTTCTGCTTTAGACTGAGGGGAACCCAACGATGGAGACCAACCAAATCTTGTGTAGGTTCAGCTCCTACATATCCAGGTACGGGGGAAAGGGGGATTATTTATATGTAGAGTTACATGAGGGAATTAGGTAGAGGAAGAACCCTTAGGATTATGAGAAATTTTATAATTATTTCTGCTTGGAGAATTATTGATCTTATTTGATTCTGTATGAATTTAGGATTATGAATATATGATTTATTTGTAAAAATGATGCTCTGGGAGAGAGATCGAAATTATAGAAAAGTGTCTGTAGGCTAGGTTTTGGAAAAATTGGAATATTTTTGTTTGAGAAATTGATGATCCCATTAGTTTCTGTATGTGTTGAGGATTAGAAATACATATTTAATTTGTAAGAATGATGATCTGAGAGGGAGAACGAAACTGTAGAAAAGTGTCTGTGAGTTAGGTTTTGGAATAATTGGGGGTTTTACTGTTTATGTTAAAATTATATTAAATTGATAATTTTATTGATTATTATATTAATTTATGAATGTTATTGCTATATTACTTGATAAAATTGATGACTTAGATATGAATTGCTTGAGATGTATGAAACCCATTATTTTGGACTTAT